AAAGAACTGTAGACTGAAAGGACAAAGAGAAAAGAAAAAAGGTTAGAACAAATCAGTAAAAGAGAAAATTTTGGTCTTGGGATATTGTCAAAGAATTAAGAAAACGAGCTTGGGATAGTGATTTACTTTTAGAGTGCGAAGGTTTTCACCGAGGAGTGTAACAATCATATAAGAAAATCTCCGATGTTTTGCAGCATGATATAATTTCATCACATGCGGCTTATCGCCATCACGATTTAAAAAATTCAAGATCATGATCTGAAATCACAATTTAAAAAAAAACGGCTCAAGTCTAAAATTAGCGGCAATACTCAGTAAATTATCTAATAACTAAGGCAAATCCCTGAGTGCACACATTAAACTGTAAAGCAAAAACCATTCATACTGCTAACAATCTGTTTCTTTTACTGGCAGTACTATGCGAACTGAGTTATATCATGGTGGAATTCGGGTTTCAAGAGAAACATTTGAGTTTATTAAGAGTGAAGCGTGAGGCAACCAATGTAGGGAGAAAGGGGTTGACTTTCTTAATTTTTTACGCATATCTGTTAATTATTCAATTTTTTCAACATAACAGCAGGAATCATTTTATGAAAACGTAACAGCAAGAAACAACGTAAGAGTAAGAATCATTTTGTGAAAACTTCAACTTTTTTTTTATTCTGGAAGGTACCAACTACTGGGAATCGGTGAAATCGTTAGACCAAGACAGAGCAAAGGAGCCGTTGAATCGGTGCTAAAAAATAAAAGGGTCACCAGGCTAGTGCCAGCTTTAGCAGAGAGTAGAAAAATTGCTGAGTCGATACTTAAAAGAGAGTGATTTTTGCTGGACTGGCATCTTAAAGCTACGAAAAGGTTACTCGACCGGTATTCAAAAGAAAACAAAGGAAGAGAAGTCATCAAACTGATATCGAAAAGAGAATGAAGAGTCGATCACTTTTCTAATACCTGGAAAAAGTGGTGAAGTTGGTGAAGTGGCATCCGGAAGAGAGTAAAAAATTGTTAGAATGACAGCCCAACGAGTACGAAAACTATCCGTTGGCTCTTCAAGCGGTGACGATTTGCGTAGTGAGTAAGGGGACATCAACCGAAGTATATAATAATCATATCGGTAAAAAATCACTCAAATGAGCGTAAAAAGATGCCGCTCGTAATCGCTGCTGGAAAACCAAAAAAAAATCTTAAATTTTGAACTACAATGAAAAGACTTCAAAATTTTATTTTGTCCACAATGTATAAATGCTAGTTCATAAAAAACAAAAACATTTAAGTGTTCGTGAAAAGCAAGTTTTCCGTTAATGGAGCTTACTTCGAGTTTAATGGCGGATCCTCCTTCAACATTGTTCGGTTCAGCTTTCAGTGCGGCATATTCACCTTTACGTTTCATATGCTCGACACGGTACACCTGCCCAAACCCTCCCGCATCTAATTTGTTTTTGATTTTCCATCTACCAAACCTTAACTTTTACAATTTTTGAAATGCAGAAATCTTACCATTGGTTTTTTTTTTAAATTTTGGGTTTCAAAAAATTTGGTGTTTTTGTGCGATATTTTTTGCTCAAACCATAGAAATAACAATTTTACACAACGCATCAAATAATCCAAGGAATCAGATGGCCAGTTTCTTCAAACGCCTATAGCTACTACTGCGGATGCGAGACGTTTTTATGCGTTTTTGCCGTGCAGCGTTAGAGCGCTGCAACAGGCAGCAAAAGCGCATATTGGAACGACCCTGTCAGTGTGTGTGTGTGTATG